TAAAATGTAGAGCAAATCTTAAAATGGATTATTGTTAACTATCCTTAAAATGGATTATTTTAACTATCCTCCAAAGAATAGATTTATGGTTTAGGTATCTAATTATGACTTGATATATATTAAAAAAAAAAAAAAAAAAAAAAAGGGAGGTTTTTGAGGGAAGATTTAAGAATTACTATTTTTTTTGTCGAGGTAAGTCATGTACCACGCGGTTAAGTAATTCAATGTGAAGTTGATAATCGTTAAAAAAGTAATTATAGTTGAGTAACGAGTTTTTAAAATTGGAGTTTTGGTGAAATTTATAATGATTTTCCTAATTAGTACTACTACTAACCATGATGCTCGATTAAAAGTTTTAGATATTAAAAAATTGAATATTTAATTATCAACTTTTTAAAATATATATATATATATATATATATATATATATATATATATATTATCCAGTAAAATGATTGTAGTGAAATAATAGTGATCAAAACCTTTTGTCATCAAAGTTCCCACTAGTATAGAAGTTACTGTGCACGGACATCTCAGCTTACAGATTATTGAAATTGATTGACGGTGGGACGAACACAAAATTATATGATTACTGAATTTCATTTTAGTCTCTCTCTATGCTTCATTTTATGTTAAGCAATTGGCGCTTTTAAAAAAAAATTGTCAAGCCCTCTTTTGTGGATAAAGGGAACTGAATTTATATTGTTTATCTTCATGGTAAGCATTGTCTTGACTCATTAGCCTCCCACTTACTACGCAATGTGTGAAGAAAAAAGGGAATGAAAATTAAGATTTGAGAGTTTTCAAGTTAGGAAATTATATGGCGCGTGGATAAGCAATAATAAGGGTATTTTCACTTTTGAACCACTAAAACACCCCTGTTTCACTTTTGCTACCCCTTAAGTTTTTTTTTTTTATTTTACTACCACCTAAAAACACCTTTGTTAAAATTTGCTATCACCCGTTAAGTTTATTCAAAAAAAAAAAAAATTAAAATGTATAAAAAAAAAAAAACTCAGCCACCCTTAATTGCCCCCCTCCCGTCAGCCACCCTCCCCCCTGCCGGCGGCCGGCGGCCAAAACTTGGGCCAACGCCGGCGACCCCACCCCAATCTCTTTCCCCCACCAACGCTGACGACCCCCACCTACGCAGCCACCCCCAATCCCTTTCCCCCACCTACGCAGCCACCCCCCTCGCTTTTCCCCCTCTCGCTGCCCCGACCCCACCCCAAACCAGAAACCACCCCCCTCCCCATTCGCCCCACCGGAATCGGCCCCCCTCCCCATTCTCCCACCGAAATCGACCCCCCTCCCCATTCTCCCACCGAAATCGACCCCCCTCCCCTTCCCCTACCCTTTTCGGCCACCCTAACCCTAAACCTTTTCGATCTCCGGTGACCCCCTCGAAACCCCAACAACCCCACCCTCGAAACTCTCACCGTCGCCGGAGTTGGGGTTATGGGGTAGTGCATCGATTTTGGGGAGCGGCAGGGGAAGGGGAGATGCGGGACAGGTGGCTAGGGGGTGGAGGGGAGTGGCAGGGGAAGGGGATTGGTGGCTGGGAAAGGAGGAGAGAGAGGCAGGGGAAGGGGATTGGTGGCTGGGGAAGGAGGAGAGAGAGGGGCAGGGGTGAAGTGGGGCCCACAAACGGCAAAACTAACAGCTTCCGTCAACTGGTAGCAAATTTTAAAATATGTGATTTTTAGTGGTAGTAAAATAAAATAAAAAATTTGAGCGGTAGCAAAAGTGAAACAGGGTTGTTTTAGTGGTAGCACAAGTGAAAATTTCCCAATAATAATGAAGTTTTTGTCAAAAACAACGAGGTTTAATTAGTAAATTTAATTCTAATAATAAATGAAAAAAAATTATACAATACTATATAAAAATCAAGTTTATTCCATCAAAATTGGTAACATCTTGTAATAAGTACTACATTAAGTGTCACATTTTGACTTTGTATTTACGTACACCACTTTTTGAAATTGTAAACAAAACATACTTATTAGAATCGTCTCAACAGTATGTACTATGTTCTAAATACCTACTTTTTGTACTCCCTCTGTTTCCTTTGTTTATCTCATTTGAAATCTTAAGAGATTTTATTGAAAATGGAATTTAATACTTAAACGATTTTCTATACGTCAAAACATAATCACGTGGGATTTTGTAAGATTCGTCTTGATTTTAAATTATCAAATGTGTAATTTTTAATTTTTGTAATATCTTTTAATCAATTAACAATATTATTGTTCAAAGTTTCATGTTGAAGAATGTGCATATCTTAAAAGGCACTTAAAAAAACAAGGGAGACACACCAGTTTCCAGTGATTTAACACACATCAGTTCGATTCAAGAAAATAAATTTCAATTATTAACAAGTTTTAATCAATTAATATAATTTAGTAACAATAATTCTAATTCTATAATTCTATAATAAAATTGAAAAACTAAATAAAACCTAACATTCTAATAGTGTAGGTTTCATTGAATAAAATAATTTCACATTCACAGTCAATCATTTCTCCTCCTCTACCACCCTTGCCCCAATTAAAGTTATTAAGAATAACTTGATTAGAGAAACAGACTTATATTGACAATAATATGCGTTCATGCAACTTGTACTTGAAAACTAGGTGAAATTATTGATATATATGTAACACAACCTAAACCAAATATGATATTATTCGGTAACGATTAGACCTAATACTTTATAACTTACAATGAACCTACGCTCGATAGGTCTATTCATTTTTAGTTGTAACGTTTTGATATTTCACACTATTCACAAACTCTACTTTAACTACCTTTTTGTGATTTGTAGTTTTGATAAAAATATAATCATGTGGGATTTGGTTAGAATCACCTCAACGTATATTTTCATAATATCAACGTTATAAAATTTTTACTTATAAATAATTAGAGATATTAATAGTTGAAATTATGTATTGGTAAACATGATATGAGTTTTTTTTTTATTTTTTTTTTTTTAAAAAAAGTGTCAATTACCAGAACAAAGGAAGTGTAGCACTTAAAGTAGAATCTAAACATGTGAAAAAGAATGGAGGAACAACGTACAAGATTCATATTTTAATTATATGCTCTACTTGTGCTAACTCATAACTAGAGCTGATCAAAGTTAGGCTGGCCCGGTGGCCCGATTTTGGGCGGGTTTTTCGGCCCGAGATCAGGACAGGCCAAGCCTCGCCCTATTTTTTAATTTTTTTTGGGCTTTCTAGGGCATTCGTTTTTATGCAATTTTTTAGTTAATTTTAGCCCGACTCAAAAAGCCGCACGGCATAGCCATTTTGACCGAGTTCGGGCACATACTTTTTGGTCTAAAGCTTGGCCCAACCTGAAAAATAGGCTAATTGTTTTGGCCTCGGCCTGACTGCCCAACGACCACCTCTACTCATAACCTAATTACATTCCATCAATTATTAACTAGACTTGCCATTGACCCGAAACTAGCATAAGATTAGAAGTCAACCCTACCTAATCCGTATTTTTTAACCCACATAAGTGAAGCAAAGTCAAACTTAAATTATCCCTATAGCACAATTTCCTTGACTTTGTAGAAATACAAACATTTTATTTATATTACTTATTACTTTATTAATATTGGTTTCAAATTTGGGTGAACAACAAATATTGATATAGCAATGGAAAATGAACTTTACTACTTTTTTCTTTTTTTAAGCTCCTAACTTTGACTTTTTTTGAATTATTATAATCCACTTTAACCATTGTTAATAATTTATCCATAAGTTGTAAAAACGTCTCAATGTATAGTTTTCGAATATCAATTTTTTATATTTTATACTAATTAATAATTAAAAATATTATTAATCAAATATTGACACACGCGTTTAGTCAAATTGGGGCACTTAAAAAGACAAATAATAATCGACTTAACCAAAATTTTGATTTGTATGTATAAAACTTAATCTCAAAATAAACTGAACATAATTGTTTGTATTCATCTTCGATATAGAATTTTAAGCTTTAAACCTGACTCAACCTTATATAGATCCGACTCGAACCCAAGAATGACTTGACCTAACTGTGATTGGCTTAATTCAAACATTACTCGACCTCGACATTATATAATGAACTGAAATTGATCGGATACTACAAATGACCTAACCTGAATTGATACAATTTGAGAATAATCTAACCTAAACTTCACCCAAACCAGAATAAACCCACCATAAAATTGCCTTTAAATGGACTCAACACAAGCCGATTTTGAAAATGAACCCAACCCTAATGTGACTCCAATAAAACCTAACCTGCACCCAAAAAGGTAACGACTCGTCATAATATAAATTGACCTTTGTCGATTTGAATTTAAACTCAACTTAGTGGCAAGGGACCCAACTTAAAACATGACCTATAGCCCGACTTAACTATAGACCTGAACCCAACCTATTTGCCCAAATTGATAACCCTAACCTCAATATTTTTCTTGCACTACAACTCCTTCCGTACTTTTGATTAATTAAAGAATTTCAAATAAATTGAAATGGATCAGATAGAGTTATACTTATCCTATCCTTTGGGATACGCAGCTAATGAATACTTGATTACATCTTAAAAATGTTCACACTGATATCATCTATTGAGATATCAGATCTTAAAGGGGTGTATTTTTGCAGATCGTAATCCCATACAATCAAAACCACGAGTCCACCTCACAAAACTTGAATTAACATTTTAATTTTTTTTTAAACAAACTTTCTTATAAACAGTACAAGCATAAACTAGCGGCGAGTCTAATTCTGATATAAATATGCCACTCTAAACCCTTAAACCAATTAACCCTTTTCTACAATGACATGTAAGAATCTTATTGGTCAATATAGGTCTTAATTTTTCTACAAGACAAGAAAAACGAAAATAAAATACTTGTAAAATTCTAGAAAAAGGGGGAGAAAATAAGGTGAAATTTCAAAATCACTGGGCTATAAATACACTATAGTGTCCTTAAAAAAAATACCCAAAATAATAAAAACTTAAAAACAGAGAAAAAAGTGAGGTTTGAGCCAAAAATCCGATCAGTCTTGTAATGGTCTGATCAGATGGCGGACGATCCTCCTTCCCACCTCGCCCATGTTCCATTGCCTTCGAACCCAGGTTCAATTTCTTCCTATTAAACCTCTGTTTAATTTGTTTTTATGAATTATTTTTGGATTTGTTGATTATTTTTTGGAGTTATGGTTTAGCATTTGTAATATAGTTTATAAATTTATTCAAACATTTTAATGGTATTTGAATAAACTCTATTTTTGGTGAAATGTGTTGTTTTTTGAATTGGGTTTATTTTCATTTGTTATTTTGTTGTTGCCATTGTTGCATATATGGTTTGTAGAACTGTTTTATATGTTGTTTCATCGTTTTTGGTATTTTGATTGAATATGTTTATATAGATTTTTTTGGAACTTTGGTGTTATGAAATTGACATTAGGTTATTGGATGATTTTTGTGTATGACTTTTTTGGTCTGATGGAGCTGTAGTTTTTGCCTGTATTGAATACTGAAATGGTAAAGGTAGTGCATAATTTAGACAAAAATGGTGCTGCTGATGTCTCTCGTGGCGACGAATTGCATGCTTAGTTTATTTGATGCTGTGGTTGTATATGTTCATATATGGAGGATTTGGGGTCTTAGTTATGTTGAGTTGATTGAAAATTAAAGTATGACCCAGCATTTTGTTTATTACCTTTTTTTAGGAGAAATGATTTGTTTACTTCATCTCTAGTTGATTCTCCGTTGGGTTCTGGGATAATCTGAATTGGGGGTGCCATTTTGGCTGATGATTGGGCTTTCGGTTGCAGTCCATATTTACATGGGTTGTTGATAGGAAATCTTAGTGGTAGAAGTATTTACCTAATATAAGAGGAAAGCAATGTATATTCATATCTCTTTGTTATATGTTATTCCCCTCACCATCTTTATGTTTCCATGAATCTGTGTCATGGAAACGAAGAGGTAAAGATCAAAATCATTCATTTGTATATTTGTTTAGTTGACAGTTTGACACGATCAACTGTATTTTGTACAGGTGGGTTAGTTTCCGATGATGCTCCACCAGTTCCAATTTATATTATCACCGAAGCTTCACAGCTTCCAGTGGAGTTCTTAGAGCCCAGTCCTGAAACAAAGCTGGTAATTGGCTTCGATTGTGAGGGTGTTGACCTGTGCCGTTATGGAACTCTTTGTATCATGCAGGTGATTGACTATTCCTGTTATTCTTGAGGCATCAGTTAAAATTTCCTTTTTTTTTTTTTTTTTTTTTTTTGTGCTTGATTATTGACGGGTAGGGTTGGTTGGGGGGTGGAGGTAGTTTGTTGCTGTTGGGTGTTTGGTTTCTTGAACACTGAATTTGTATTTGATTTGATTTTATGGATCTCATAATTGACAACCATATGATCTTGCTGTACTGGGTGCAGCTATACAGCGAGTAGATTTTACTTTTTTACTTTGTGTGGGACTTGTAGATTGATATTACTATGGGAGCAGTGAAAAAGTATTGTATGTGTGTATATTTTGTAACTAGTATAGTTTAGATCATTTTTCATAGTTTGAGTTGAATGTAGTGGCTTACTTTTCGCTTAATTGCAGATTGCATTTCCTGATGCGATATATCTTGTGGATGCCATAGAAGGTGGAGACATGCTCATAGAAGCATGTAAGCCTGCTCTTGAATCTAGATACATCACTAAAGTTATACATGACTGCAAACGTGACAGTGAGGTCTCTAATTTGTCTATCCACCATCTATAATTGATTGATGTTTTGCTTTGAACTAAAATATTTGACGACTTTCCATTTTCTAGGCATTATATTTCCAGTTTGGCATCAAGTTACATAATGTCATGGACACCCAGGTTAGCATTTTTCTGTATATCTGATCAGTCAATATACGGATACGGAGTAGCTTTATTTATGTACCTCACGTTTGCCGAATTGCTTCTATGTGAATTTTGATATTTTGGCTGCATGTGGTAGTGAATCTAGTGATGTAATTGTGAGAAGTCAAACGTTTGTTTTGTCCCTATTGTGATTCTTAGTGTACTATCATGAATATTTAAAACACATTTTTTGTATTCAAGAACCTGTTTAGGGTCTTCTAAGGTATAGGAATTTAGAAATTTGCAAAATTTGGACCAGTTAGTTATTGTGCTTCCCTGAGGAATTTATCCTGTTATCTTTAGGAGTCTCTCCCTTTTTACATATCCGTACATTTGTTATTTTGATTCAGTATCTTCATTACAAACAATATCCGGTCAATCCTTGATGCGGCTGTGGCTTAGTGAAAGAACTCTTGCAATTCATGCTTTATTTCACTTAGTGTGTTTATAAATGTTTAATTAAATTTTCTTAGAAGACCCCAGTGGATTTTCTGTTCCCTCCTGTCTTCCTTTTACATTATTTTTGTTCATGATCCCAAAGTCTCAATTTTTATGACTTTTATCCTTCTGTACTTACACCACCTCTCCGTATTCTATAATACTTGGTTTGTTTAGAACAGTGTTAGAGGAAGGGCATTGCATTCTTCCCAATTTGATGCCTAGAAGAACACAATAATTATTTGCGTTGTTCATTACTGATATTTGGGCAGAAAATTAAGGAAGAAGAAGAGGACATTTTCTATAAAAGCAAGAAATCACAGAAAAATTAAATATAACTCAAGCTTTCAAGAGGCTTGTTCTCTCCCAAACTGTAACAACAAAACTGAGATGAACACAGAATGAATATCCTCTTTCCCATTCTCTCACTAATTTGCTCTTATTTATAGCATTTCCCCTCTACGCCACTCACTTATCTTCCTCCTCAAGATACTACAACTGAATTATATTGCAGTAATTGCACTACCTATAATGCCAGGCCAGTCCATTACTTACTCTCTAAGTATGAAAAGTATATACAATGGCCAAAGTACTGCATCTTTGGACCTTATTGAACTATTTATGCTGAAGAATGTTATGTTGGGATGTGAAAAATCTCTTTTGAGCTGCTTCAACTTTCTTTTTATTTTTATTATTTTTGTCTCTAGTGTAAGTATTTTATACTCCCTCCGTTCTTTTTATGTTATATATACTCACCTACTATAGAAACGTAATTTAAAAAAATATTGAAAATGGGGAGTGGGGTGTAAGATAAAAGTAGGATAAAGTAAGAGAGATAATGTAAAAAGGTGGGTGGGTGTAAGAAAAAGGTGAATTAAGAGGGAGTGCGAAAAAGTTAATAATTGTAGGGTAAATGGGTAAGATGGTGAAACGTATATGCCTAAAATAGAATAAAGCAAAGTGAGTAGAATGAAAAAGAACGGACTAATGGAAAGTGAGTAGAGCAAAAGAGAATGGAAAGAGTATGTACTTACTGATTCATGGCACCTAAATACCAATTTCTTTTTACTCGGCTTCATGACTTGGTTTAATTAGCCTTTTCCCTCTAACATCTGGCAAGTGGCAACTTACTTATGCGATTCAACTAGTAAAAATGCAGAGCAATTTGACTAATTAATTGTCGCATGAGTATGAGCTTTCTCGTGTGCTGGATTGTAAGCGAAGTATCATTTTGGTTGACCTCACACAGTGAGATTCATCTTCTCTGGATTGGTTTCTTAGAAGTGCTTACTATGAATATGCATTTGTTTTTCATTCGCATCCTCTTGTTAAGGGCATGTTACTGGTTGACTATAGTCACTGTATTGCTTAAATTTTTCTGTCATGGATGTAGAAAATTTAAAATCCTACATGAACTGATGTGATTGATATATATATTTCACAGATAGCATATACCTTGATTGAAGAACAGGATGGACGTCCCAAAGGGCCCGATGACTACATCTCATTTGTTTCTCTTCTTGCAGATCCACGCTATTGTGGTATTACACTTGTCACGGTATTTATTTTATTGTGCCTAACTTTTAATATGCTTTTACCCTGAAATGAAAGTGTCTAACAATAAGGAGTACAGTGTAGAACTATAGACCACACCTTTAAAATTTTACTTAAGTGTGGGTTACTTTTACTAGGGTAGGCTGTACCTGAACTTAGGTAAACTATGCTTTTAATACGGGTAAAATTGTTTGGGAGTTCATCCAGATTATTTCTGTGTATCATATCCTTATCTCGTATAATTAGACTTTTCTTACTAGTTACTAGATTTTGAAACTAGGAAAGTTCATCTTAGTTACAGTAAGACTAGTATGGTTGGCACTCCACTGCCTATTTACCAGTCTTAATCTGTAAGCAAGTATTAATTCATTTGTATAGAATTCTAGATATTGTGCTAGGAAATTCACAAGGGAGTTGAGATTAGCTGTCCCATAGTAGAGAAAGAGAGGAAGGGCGACTAACTTATAAGATTCATGAGATATTCCCTCCAATAAACCAATTGGTTTAATATGACGCCTTTTTGTTTTTGTATTAAGTCAAACAATCTTTCCGGGTATGGCTTTTGTATTGCCTAATGAAAGTTATCTTTGTAGCCGAGCGGACGATTCTGGCCTATTATAAGCCTAAAGGAAAGTCGAATAACTTAAAGATTGCTAGATGAGACGACACACGAATATGAGTATTTGTTTGGAGCAAGTAGCCCAACATAATTGCAACCAATTGACCTTGTGTTGGAAGTCTAAAGAGGGATTTACAAGGATGGTAGTGACCTAATTTTATAGCTAGATTATAGATGGCTCACATGAGGGGTAGTGCTATGTGGGTAGTATAGAAATAACTTATATAGGGACTAGTTAGACTACATTGAAGAAAGAGAGGAAGGATGACCAACTTATAAGACTAGTAGGTTATTTTATTACCAATTGGTTGTAGGTTGGAACCTTGCTTTCTTTGTTTGTGATCAAACTCTCCTTGGTCTTGTTTATGGCCCAATGAAGATTTGTTTTATCAATATGTTGACAAAATTTCTTATCTATGGGAGCATTCAACTTTTGCATATGCTTATGCTAATTTTAGGTTGGAGTCTTAGATAAAAGGGGGAGGGTAGAGTGTCAAAAAAATATTTTTGGTTGGTTATTGGAACAAGAGTGATAACATCTCAAATCTCAATTGAACAACTATTTGGAGATCGATTGCTTAATTTGGCAAAAGTACATGCTGGCTATCCCATTAACTATAATCTTGATGCTTAGAGAATGATGTGCATCTTGGATTTAGATGTGGTGATTTACTTTGTAAATCTCTAGTCCTCTAGTTTCCTTTTTGTATGACCTGGCTTCCTCTAAATTGGGTTTTGATGATAAATGCTCCGAACAAGAATGCAACCTGCAACAAGTGGATCTTTTTTTTTTTTTTTTTTTTTTTTTTTTTTTTTTTTTTTTTTGGTCCTGCAATGCTTTTGGTCTCCATGAAATTGTCTTCCTGTGATTGGTGAAAACTGATACGTGTTCAAATTGTACTATATGTGAATGTCATGTAACCGTGAAACTTTACCTAGAGGTTAGCATTGGCATGACATTAGAAGACCTTCATCCCATATTAAGATTGCTTGAGGTGTGTCAAGGTGATAGGGATTTTCTTGTGCCTTAGGTGTGCCTTGGTGCACCTCATAGCGTACTTAATAAATGTAAATAAAGGTATGCGAAAAAAGTTGTGCTCCTTGCCAAAACCGCCCTGCTTGGACCAAAAAAAGGCGTATGGCCTATGTTGCTTGCGCCTCATCGCCTAGGCGGACCTTCTATTACACTGGTGAGATTACTTGATTTTCATGCCACAAACTCAGATTTTATAAACTTTCAGTCAGCAATCAGTCATTTCTGGCCCTGCAAAGCCGTATCCATAGTGCTAATACTCTTAAATATTCACATTAGTATGATGGCATGACCAAATTGGTTGTACTTATAAAATTTTGGGTTGTGTTGTGCCGTTGTTTACTGATGATCTTCTTAATATGCTTGTGTTACATTATGCAATGTGAACTATTGAGTTTTATCATGCATGAACTCCTGTTCTTGATTTGTATTTTCGTTCATATAAAACTTTTTTTTTTAATGTATGTCGTCTACAGGAATATCTTATCTTGAGAAGGAGGAGGTTCGGGTTCTCTTGAGGCAGGTGAGTTTCAAATAGTCTGTCATTTTTGGTTTGAAGATGGGACCAGACATTGAGTTCTACTGAATAAAATGTTTTTGAAATGATGCCAATATTGCTAAAGCCTAAATGCATCTGCTGCCTTTTTTTCCTTTCAATTTTTGTGTTGATTGAAAAGTACATTCATATTCTTAAGATCCATGCATTTTAGGCATTAGATTAATAGGGTCCATTAGGCTCATTCCCCATATTTTTTTATGGGTATTTTAAAATTAGAATGGTTAGGCTTAGGAAGTCAGGATTGCTTGGTTTTAGAGAAGAAATTTGGCATTGGTAATTAATCTATGTTTAGAAGTTTATGTACATGGATGTTTTACTATTAAGCACATTCTTCTCAACTATATAGCACTGTGCTAGTGAGTCATGAAGACAAATTGACAATTTACTAATGAATGCAATAGCCCAAATAGTGTAGCTCCATATAGTTATGCACTATAAGTTTTCCTCTATGATCATATTTTCTGACTGGCTTCCACACAAGCTAGATGATGATTGGAATGTAATGTTATTTTGCACTATCTTGAGATTTTAGAGAGAAATGACTTGACTGCTGTATGACTTAAATGGTTGGACCAGTTATATTTGCTACCTTTTGGACATTTAACGTAATCAACCCTCCATTCCGGCCTTTGGCACAGTAACTTGTCTGTTCCAATTTTTTTTAACTGATATTTGTATTTTATTTTCAGGATCCAAAGTTCTGGAAATACAGGCCATTATCTGACCTCATGATCCGTGCAGCTGCTGATGACGTCCGTTTTCTGCTATACATCTATCACAAAATGATGGAGAAGCTAAATGCCCAATCTCTGTGGAACCTTGCAGTTCGTGGTGAATTGTATTGCCGCTGCTTCTGTATAAATGATGAAAACTTGGCTGAATGGCCTGCTTTGCCTTCTATTCCAGGTTTGTCAATACTTTTAGCCATAAATTAAACAAATATAAATTTTGTAGCTACTATATGAAGTGCTATAAAATTCTTGTGGGACAAAATAAAATTTCAAGTGCTTTTGTCTTTTTCAAATTCCAAAATTAGTTGCTCAAGCTTGCAATTCATCTCTGTTGAGGATTAAAGGCAAAACTATGAAGCCTTACTGACTTACATCAGTCCCCCCCCCCCCCCCCCCCCCTCTCTCTCTCTCTCTCTCTCTTTTTCTTTTCTTTTTGAGCAATTTCTAGTTTCCTAGATAAGTACAAGAAATTAATTTTTATCTATTTATTTATTTAGTTTTGTGTCTCTGTGTGTTTGATGTTGTGGTGCCTTGAGGCATAAGGGTCAGATGACTCAGATCTTTTACCTAGGCCTAGGGTATGGCATATGGCCTCGTTATTTCACTTTGTTGTTTATCCTCAGATGATCATGCTGGTGACACTGAACATCCCATGTTGACAGTGCATGCTTTTGATGAATGACATTTTCCAACATGGTAAGTCTCAGAAGTCAGAAGGAGCAAATGACTGAATGCTAAGTTGTATATGTGGAGAGTTTTATCAGAGTTGAAGCCTTACTGTTTATGAATTTCAAAAGATGGCTGGACATTAGGGTAGGCACTAGGGAAGTAAAGATTAATGCGCACACTTTTTATATGGAGCTACATCTTGGGGTTCAAACTGCCTTAAGACTGCATGTTGATGAATGAAGAGTGTTATGCTCACAAATTATATCGCGGAATTTGATTCAAAAACTACAAGGTGGTGGCTATTATTTCGTAAAGAAAGAACATGATTTAAATTGAAACAAGAAGTTATGTACAACTAAAATCAGTACTTCATTGTCAAGAACATATCGAAAAAGAATTGATTGGATCTCAAACAAACCCTAATGAAACATATGAGTAAACCCGAGCCCAAAGGCATGAAAAGATTTCGGTCCTATGATAATTAGAAGCAATAGCTCTATCTAGGAAGTTTCTGTTATTCCTTTCCTTCCACAGTACCTGTGGGGGAGGAGTGTGGCTCCCCCTACCATCTTTGAGGGTCCCACCTTGGTTTAATCTGGGTTAGTGGGGGCCGGGGGGTAGAGGGTAATTGACCACTTAGTTTGCCTGACTAACTGTGCCAGATCAGTTGCACCAGAAATGGGTTGGCAAGTTGGGCCAAAATTAATTTGAGAAGAATGAAGAAATGCCGTTAATACATTCTTCTATAGAATCTTTTGTTTTTGCATCTTTTTCCACTTCAATACTGTAATAATTCACTAGGGTCATGAAAATTGTGGTGGGCAAACTCATTTATATGTGTAAAATTTTTACAAGTTGGATGTAGAAATAAGGATTGTGTTATATGTTTGGAGATGGAATTGGTGTAGGAGGAAAATTGTGAGAGCCGAGGAGTGGTAGTAGCACCTTATGGAGGGAACAGTGGAGGAATAATGTTAGATGGTTTGGAAAATATGGTCAAAGTTTTCTACATCCATGATTCCGGGGACCCTTGACATGTAAAAGAACTTTAGAGTAAGAGAATATACTTTGTATATCAGTTTACTCTGTTTTCTCTGTTGTTTGTTTGCTGTTCTCTTCTTGAATATTATTATTTTTTCTCATGTGCACATGCATTTGTGCTTGTTTCCGTTTGGTGTGTGGTCTTGAGGTTATTGTCTCCTCATCTCTCCACTGGAGAGTGGCAACTGAAGCTTGTTGATGAATGACAGTAATGAATTTGTTGTTCTCCTTTGCATGTGATGCCAGACTCGAGTTATCCTTTTTCACTTCCTGCTTTAAGAGGTTGTTGTGAGGCATAAGCCTATATTGGTAATCACCTAATATTCTGTGTTTCAACTTTATGTTGTAATTCTTGTTGGAGTGAACACAGAACAATTTGGTTGCCCCCTTGATGAGATGAGAACCTTGTTGACCTGGTGTGTTTATTGTTCAGATGACCTGCCTGTGGACACAGAAGCTCCTGAAGAGGAAATCCTTTCTGTTCTTGATGTTCCACCAGGGAAAATGGGACGTGTGATTGGCAAAAAAGGAGCTTCAATTCTGGCAATCAAGGAATCGTGCAAGTAATTTTCATCTTCTATCTTTAACTCAAACACAATTTTCTAAATACTTGAAACTATGAAGTATCAATTGCCAAAAAAAAAAAAAAAAAAAGAAAAAAATTTAAGTATCAGCTGGTCTGGCTGTGTTTAACTATTAAGTTCCCAATCTTTTCAAAATTGTTTTAAAAGGCAATTCTATCTGTTATACTTTATATTTGCAAGAATTACATCTTACACAGCTGTATATGTTTGTGATCTACAGTGCAGAGATTCTCATTGGAGGATCAAAGGGTCCCCCTGATAAGGTGAGTTTGGAAATCTGTGAAGTAGGATATTAACACCCTATTGGTAATGTAGTAATTAATTATGTGTTTCTCCTGTGATGCTACAATGAGGCATGTACCTGATGTGAAACCCTCATTAGGTTACAACAGAGCTACAATTGATCGACTGATCGTCACAATCTCCACTTCTATTGTTTTCTTATTTTTAAGGAAGCAAGAATGGAAAGCCCTTAAATTTCCATCGTTAACTTTAAAAGTCATTGCCAAAGGCCCAAAGATAGAAAACAATATAAAGTCCTGATGCAATCAGGGAAAGAAGTTAACTCCTTTCTGTTGCAAATTCTTTATTTCTCTTAACAGTAATTTAGTTGAAAGTATTCCATAACTTTTATTTAAAGGCATTTTGCAATTATGCAAGACTACATTCATCTAAATCCCACTCTACATAGGAGCCTCATTAAAGACATCAGGGGACTTTTATGGTTATGGAATTAAATGTGTTGTATTATATACTGTCATATAATCACGAACTCACTGCATTTGTCTACAAATGTGTAGCTTGAAGCGCAACCATTGCTATGTTACTTATATAGTACTGTTGTTTTATGTAGGTTTTCATCATAGGCCCAGTGAAGCAAGTGAGAAAAGCCGAGGCCATGATAAGGGGAAGAATGCTGGACATGTAATGAACAAATAGTCTCTTGCAATGCTTTGGATTGTACTGATACAATCTCTCAATCTCAATAATAATAAATGGAACTTTTTAAGACACTTCTTTTCTCCAGTTCTGAATTTTGAGGCAGTTTTTCTCTTTAGTTCTAAACCCGCGTTAGTTTACTAGAGCTTCTCCAAGGCACTTCTTGGAGGATCTCTCTAGTAATTTTTAGCAGAGTAGTTTTTGCATGAATGTCAGAGATGCCTGGGAGTTCTCCCTGGAAGCTAATTGTCGTAGATGCATGAATCTTAGCTTGCTATATGCTGTCTGTCTGTTTTACAATATGGTGAATGTATAGCGTTCATCAATGTAAACGTGAAGCTTGCCATTGATATAATTCGTAGCTTTGATGGTATGTTGCTCGAGTGCAGATACTATATCTTTAAAGCGTGGAATCCTGATTAGCATTGGAGATGTGTTATTGAATGTAAGTGCATGGAATTGTAGGAGTCTATGCCTCTATGGCAGGTAGAAATATAAAGTTTCACAGATGAACTTTGGTTATATTTGTCTCCAAATCTCTAGTTCCTTTTCTTTTTTTGAACATTAGATGTCTCCCTTCCCTCCTTCCCTCTAAATCCTTAATTCAAACACATTATAGTGGAATCCCAAAAAGAATTGGTGACAGCAAGAGTAGTTGCTAGAACTTTATGTAGGATTAAGGGAGTATTTCACCAAATTTTGTCAACTTGAAATTAAGCTAGTCATACAAAAGTTATATTCACAAATGAAAATCAATAAGAGATTAGAACTTGTGACTAGCATGAAAAAGTGTAGTAAAATACTCAAAAAAACCATCGACAATTATATTGAAAAACCTAATGCTAAAACCTTGTCTCATAAAAGATGACCAAATTAGATGAAAAGTCCCCTTCTAGTTGGGAATAGATCTAATGCTTCACTAGAACTTTATTCAATATAAGCCTTTCACAAGATAGTAAATCTTTTCATTTAAGAACTTTCGATCTTTACAAGAGTTTGAATTATCTTTAACGAAGTGTGTAGTGGACAAATTGTGTCTTGGATAGATATGTGTTATCTTCATAATTATTATATATCTTTATTTGATAAACAATTGTATTTCTGTGGAGAATATCAATTCACCAATGTTAGAAGGAATCATTAAATTGTTTTTTTTTTTTCCTTTTCTTGACAAGATCATTAAATTGTTTTTGCAGTAGTGAAACTAGTCTATGAAAAAAGGGTGCAATAATTAGATAAAAATAAGTAGAAAATGTTTATTCAATTTAAATTTTAATTAGGAAACATCAATAGCTTTACATGCAATTTAAAATTTAATTCTTTTTTGGATTAAACTTCATATGGCATATATTGTGTAAATGAAATCTTTTCTTTTCTAAGTTACCGTGTAAATTGTAATATTGTCACAATGAATGGATAAATACTAAATTACTACACTAACTAAAGTTAGAAGCACTTGTAAATTTGTAATATATCTATAGTAAAATTGAAAATAAAAGTCATTTTTAATTGAGAATTAAATATTAGTGTTTTTTTTATTAACAGTATTGATATATACTAAAAACTTTGTAATCTTCTTTCAAAGAAATTAAATAAATTTGTAATTCATGTAACTATCATGTAACATCGTGTTAATAAACTTATTAAACACATGTAAAATATTTGTATCGGACTTGACTAACTTGTTTCGTAGTTTCATAATTAGTTCAATACATTTTTTTTAAAAACATCAAAATGTGGTAATACAATTAAATTCAATGAAAAGAGAATGTCAAAATAATCTTGACCAAACTTTGAAAAATCTTAAATTCAGAATCCATACAACATAGATCAAGTGAAAAGTACACAACTTAAACCAGTTGGCAACTTGGCATTTATGCAGTAAATAGTGGCTAGACGCTAGATGACATAAAAATTCTTTTACTCCATTATTTAAGTGAACAATCATTATGTAAATTTTCTATCAAAAAAACCAAAAAAATAAAAAAAAAAAAAAAATAAAAAAAATTCATACATTTTCAATTTCAATTTCTTGTAAATAAATTAAGAAGGGGAAAAGGGTGACGATAATAAGTTCATTCTTCAATTACAATTCGCAATTTCATGATTACAATCCTCCATTAAAATAACTTCGAATCTCCATTAATTGCTCTCTCTTTCCTTGAACCACCGATTCTCGCTACTCAATAAGGTATGTCTACTTTTTTTTTTTTTTAATTGTTTGTTTTATGAAAATATTGAAATCAATTAATTTGATGTGAAAAAATTGAAATCAGTTAATTCAATCTCAGATCTATGTTGATTTTTTTTCAAAATTTGCTTACACATTATAATTTGATCCTGTTATATATTTTTCAGATCTCAATCAACATGGATTTCATGAAGGTTGTCGATCAAGCTGTTCGCGAAATGTAATTCTTCTAAATTTAGTTTAAATGGCAATTTTAATATTAATTTGTTTGAAAATTTGGAAATTAGGGTTTTGGTTTGTTGATTTTGGGTAATTTTGAACTTTGATTGTAGAAAACGAGAGGTGAACTTGAAGGTATTGAAGGTTCCTGAGATCGAACAAAAGGTTAGTTATTGAATGAAAATACATTATGTTTTTAATTGATTTATTCATTTTGTGTACAGAATTTCTGATTTATTAAATTTGGTGTTAATGAAGTGAAATTGCAATCTTGGGGGGTAAGATTTTAGCTATAAGAGCTTCAATTTTAATCAATACTAATTACTAAGTATGATCTAATATTTTATATTGGGTTCTTTCATTGTATGAATCGAATGACTAACTTTCCTGTCGTATTTGATCTGGATGTCTCGGGTTTGATCTGGGTTTTTCTTTCTATTATAAGTGTGTGATCAGTGTGAAGGATATGATTTGTACTTGGCAACATGTATTTAGAATCTTTTTCAAGTTTATAAGGAACTAATGACCAAAATAAGCTCTCTTTCAATGTGTTTATTGGATAATGTTTCTGATTGTGTGGTTTGCTTGTTGTAAATCTGTAGACGATTTTTTGAGGTTTCCCAATGCAGGACTCTGTAAAATGTAATATCTTAGAACTAAATTTTTTTAGCGAAGCATCCTCTATTTTTTTTTTAGTAAAAATATATCTATAAAGAACTTGCTTTGACACTTAGTATTGAATCCTAATGGATAGCTGAGCAATATGACCTTCTAGCTACTAAAATTTTGAGTGTCATTTGGTTTTCTCCCATGAAGATAACTTCCATTAGGAAGAGAGTCGTTGGTGCCTTGGTGGAAATTACTCCTAATCCTTGGGGGATTAATGATACATGTAAATTTTGAAATTTTTTGTTTAGTTTCAAGGTACCTTTTTCTTTTTCTTTCCTTTTCTTGTTTTCCCCTCATTTGCCTTTTAATTGGGTGGGCGGTTATCAGAATATGGTGCATTATGCAATTATATAGTGATAATGAACTGAGCTTGAACTCTCACTGAGCTCTAGGCTCTAGCTCAGGAAAGTGAGGCTAGAATCTAGCTCTTTAGCTTGTACTTGGAACGGGAAATTATAATGGTGACGAAATCAAATAAGGGCAATGATAATCTGGAAATGCCAGCTATTAGGGTACTCAACTGTAATTGCCACTGGCTCCTTTTTGTCTACTTCCTCAATTCACCTTTTCTTTATCATGTATACTTCTGCATGCTTACGTGAAATCTTGTTTTTCTGTGAGCTCAGTCATGGACACCCAAACTGATTTTACTAGTGCAGAAGGTGTGTATCTTTGATGTATATCATAAACGAAATTATGCACTCTTTGGGTGGACTATGGGGTGCTGTATTCAATGGGTTTTTTTTCTTCATATTTGTCATGGTGCATTGGTTTCTTTCTTTCCAAGTGCACCATCAAACTACCAAGAGAACCATCTTCCATCTTCCATCACTGTCTATCTATTAGTTTTAAGTAAGCTGCAAGTGTTGCTTTGAGCTGTTGGCATTCACCTGAGCTTAATCTCCTTGTCTTGCTTCTCCTAGTGGATGATAGAAGTTAACACGTGTGATATGTGTTTCAATGACCATTAGACAAATAATGCCAGTGTTGGGATTCTAAATTATCTGCTTGCTTTGAGCACCCTTTGATCAGATAAAACCCTTAAGAAAAGGAACTGTATAGATAATCTGTATCAGTCTATTGTTTCAACACAAGGCTTGTTGGAGACTTTTCTGTGATGCTCTTGCATATTCACACATTCTAATTCAGGAGAACAGCACTCCTTTTCATGCCATTTCTATGTATGGAATTGAGTACTATTTTCATGGTATAGGATTTAATCAAATTTTGTGGATTGAAATTGTCACTTTCTAGGACTTAATTTTTTTGGTGTCTGAGAATAGGGGAATAATCTTAGTTAACATTAATAAAAATCTGACCGCAGAAGTTTATTAATGGTAAGAGTGGGTAGCTTGTTCCTTTTCTGCTGATTTTTCATACTGTGAGGTTAGATAATTGAATAGACTTTTGCAAGATAATTAAAAAGGATCCAGTATCATGAGCTGCTTGCTTGATGTTGCTGCTAATCACCATTGCTTTTTTTTTTTTTCGGGATGAAACAATATCAACCTTGTATCATCATTGCATTGAGTGCTAAAGTTGGGTTCAATTATACACGACCTAACTCCTTTAGTTTAGAGCAGCAGATATTGAGTGGCACACCAAATGTCCAAATGTACTCATACACATTAGACTTAATCAAATAACTATTTTAATAATATCCCACATTATATGATGGACCTGACCAGACCATCCATTATACTTTGCATTTAACACGAGGGATTGGGTTCTAAATCCTTGTTACAAATAGTTGCTTTATGCATATAGAATCTGACCACCGTGATTTGTGATAGGTGCTGGATGCAACTGATAATGAGCCTTGGGGCCCTCATGGAAGTGCACTGGCAGAAATAGCTGTAGCCACCAAAAAATTGTAAATTCCTCTAATCTCAAATTCTCTGAGTTATTTGAGCTGAAAGGAGGATTCTGACTTTTGATTTCTTGATATGCCTGGCCTTTCTTTTGCTATCTGCAAGTTCTGAATGCCAGATGGTTATGAATGTTCTCTGGACAAGATTGGGAGAAACTGGCAAGGATTGGCGTTATGTTTATAAGGTACTATAATCTTCATCTGCTGTGATTTGAACTCTTTTAGCTGGCAAAGGTTTGTAATCCTAGAGAAGTCATGCTAATATTTTGTTTCTCCTTATCATTGCATTGGCTCTTATCCAGGCACTGGCTGTGATAGAGTATCTCATTGCCAATGGATCTGAACGAGCTGTTGATGAGATCATAGAACATACTTTTCAAATCTCAGTATGAATCCTTTCATCTTATCTTTCTTGGGTTATCATGATTATTGTCCAAGAAATGTATCTTATTCCTTTTTTCTTCTTTCACATATTGCTTTGGTCTGGTAAAGTCGCTCGCAAGCTTTGAATATGTTGAACCAAGTGGAAAGGATGTGGGGATCAATGTCAGAAAGAAGGCGGAAAACATTGTAGCTCTTCTTAATAACAAGGATAAAATAGAAGCAGCTCGGAAAAAAGCTGCTAGTACCCGTGAGAAGTGCGTTTTGAAGTACTATAATCAGTGCCTAATTCCTCTGTATACATAGCAAATACTCATGAAATTTCTCGTGCATCTGTTTATAGGTATGTTGGCCTCTCATCTACGGGGATATCGTACAAGTCAAGTTCTGCTTCTTATGGTGGTGGCAGTTCCCAGAGCAGCAACAGGGTCAGGTATGGAGGCTTCGGTGGCAGATATGATGATGATGGTTACAGAAGCAGAGATGAAGACTATTCTGGGCAAGATAAATTTGAGAAATTTGTTCCCAAGTCTTATCAAGGAGCTTCTGCTGAAAGGAAAACAGCTCATTATAGCAGGTAGACTGCTGAAATTTTTCCATGTTGCTTCTATTTTCTCTTTCTAATTTTTTAATCCCTTTTTCTTCGAAAGTAATGTTTTGCTTGTAGTTGAAGGTTATATGCCACACCTTATTTTCTTTTTACTGTAATAATTTCAAGCCTAAATTGTAATAAACAGAAAGATTAAGGGGAAAGGTTGAAGCTTTGATTGATAACAAATGATTTTCACAAGTTAGCAGCTTTAGGCTGCAAGTCTCCACTAGTGACTTTAGTTTACAACTCTCAAAACATCAATATCACAATCCTCATGCCCTTCTACTGCTAAGCTACTTCCTTTTTATAATCAAGCAAACAAATGATAACATAATAATAATTGTGTTTGTCCTTGCTCAAGAGTATCAGCATTCTGTCCCATGTTGCCACACCCCTTAGTGCTCCCTTAATTAGTTTTGTCTTCTTTTCATCTTTTGCTAAAGTGTCTTCTGCCCCCCTTTTGCTACTTACATCACTCCTTTGGTCGGTTCATTACATTTACTCTATTTTCTGTCTTCAACTCTCTCGGTATAAATTTGGCTATAACAGAGAAATATTAGTCAAAGATGAAGAACAGAATGGAGAGGGATGGGAAACCTTGAGTGATAGAAAAAGGAGTGAGATGATATTTTCTTTAGGAATATCATTTTATGGTCCTTCATTTCGGTATATGCTTTTTTTTTTTCCAATTTTTGCAGTTATATGCTTGGTAAGAGCAATAGACATTGATCTTTAGAAAATTATAATCTGTAGGAGGGGATGTTTTCAACTGACTACACTACAGTATGTTGAGCTCGTTACTCTCTAAAACAGGGTTGCGGATTTAAGATATGTTTTTTTGGGGATTTTAAGGCTTATCTGCCTTATTTTGTGGACTATTTCTTGGACCTTCCACTTCTATTGAAATCCTCATGTTATGAAGATTATAATCTTCTTCTATATTTTAATGGTCACTATTTCCATTCCTAGCATTCTGGCAACTTGGCAAGAGATTTTACTCTTGTGAAAAGTTGATTCCACCAGAATTCAACTATATAAATCTTCCAGCAGCCACCTTCTCTCTTATTATCCACACCATAAAAGTTAATTTACATGCTGTCAAAGAGTGAATTTTTTTTTTCTTTTTCTTTTTCCTTAGCTATTGTTTGGTGCTTAAACTTTTTCTAACAAGTCTATCGCATAGAAAAACAATAATTCGCAGTCGTCGTGTCACAATAACACCTTCTCTGAGGCATTACCTTGCTTGCGGTCGTTGTGTGTGACTTGGCAAATTGAAAATTTTCTTTTTTTATCACTGTTATCCAAGAATTTAGTTATACATTTTAGATTTTAATTGAAGAAAATACCCTTTAGAACTGTGATTTTATATATTTTTTTTTTTCGAAGAGTATAAGAGGTTATAAGCTTCTAACCAATTTAAAATGCTTATGATTGTTCCTTATATGTCATTATAGTAGGAACATTTTTATGAATAATAGCATTGATAAAAGATGATAACTTCTGATATGTTAACGTAACAGTTTATAAGGATGTCACAGTGGTTTTAAAACATGTTTGGGAATGGCATTTCTAGGAATGGAAAATTTAAATAATTTACTATTCTGGCTATATTACCAGTATGTCTTGATATGTTTCCTTACTGTGTGTGTGTGCTTTAACGCTGACCATGCCACCATATAATTCCTAGGGTAGATTTAGTGCCCTGGTAGGTAAAGGCTGTTGAAATTCTTAATATCAGAACAGGGTAAATATCTCGATGCTTACTTGTAGAATTTCTTTTTCTTATCCCTGACCAAGTAAATTTATGAGCTTTCTTAGTGAATAACTGTTCTGAAGAGTGGAAATTTGAAGGGAAGGCTGAGTAGTGTAGTTGCATTGCTAGATCTATTGATTCTTTACCAAAGGTAGGACTCATCTGCATATGGTTTGCTGGTTCTCTTCCACCCATGCTTTTGCACTTACTAAAACTATGCCATGAAAGTGTGAATTGTAGAATATAGTCTCATTTTGGCTGATTATATGTTGTTTCTGCAGCAAAAGCCAGGATCTTCCTTCGGCAGGTTCTGCAAAAGACGAATACTCTTCCATTTCACAACGGAATGCAAATACTCCTTCAAATGGTCAGTTAGATGAAGATGATGATGATTTTGACCCCCGGGGAACTGCTGCAACAAGTAAGTCCTTGGGATTTATTCCTGTTGAAGTTAATTTCGTCCTACACATCTATTTTTTTAAAAAAAAATTTATTTAATGGTCAATCGACGTCAAAGCATAAAATTCATTTTAGGGCCTTCATTTGATGTTTGTTTTGTTAATTTCTTTTCACTCAATATTTGGGATCTAGAGTTCAATCTAAATCTTTTGGACAAGGATACAAAGGCTAGTGTAAACTAATGATGAGGTACTGATGAGGTTCCACTGCTAATTGAATGCTCAAAATTGTACTTTGTTCTGTGTGATTTCAATGCACTAATAGTGGTTTAATTTATGCCTCCTGTCTAAACAAGGAGTTGTTGGATGCGTATCTCAAATTTCTAATATAAGAAACTTCCCAATGGAATTGCTTAGGGCCCACATTGGCGTACGTTACATTTAGAGGTTGCCAAAGCAGATGTTGCAACTTATGGATGTAGTAGAAGTTAAAACATCTTGTGTTGAATTAGATGCTACTTCCTCTGTTCTTTTTTACTTGACCTATTTCTTTTCTTTTATCACCTTGTCAATGCAAAATTTTAACGATCAATAACTTTAATTCTCCATAGATAAAAATTATAAAAGTTTTTATATTATGATAGTACCTATTGAGACGAATTAAAAAAGATCTCATATGAATATGTTTTTCCTTACATATTTTTCACAAAACACGGGCAAGGAGGGGTGGTGAATAGTGTAAAATTCAAAGCGGGTCAAGTAAAAAAGAACGGAGGAAGTATTTCTTATGGATGTAGTGGAACTCGTATTTTCTTGTATGAGTTTTGTTTTTTGTGGAGGAATGATTCTAGATTAGATTACGTTAAATTGCTGTTACAGAACACAATTTTTGGCAGAATAGTGTAGGAGAAAAAAAATGCAAGTATGCTGTCCTATTCTATTTGCTGCTTATATACAAACACATCCAAATCTCACAAGCTTTGAAAATATTACTTTTGGGGTTCAAAAACAAAAAAAAAGGAAAAAAAAAACTCTTGGCTTTGAATGATTACTTAGCAGTGAAGTAGTCATGATGCATAATGTGTATTCTAAGGCAAAGCATGATTAATTTGCTTGCAAGAATCCATGTGCTCTTTGTTCTTCACATATCTATGATTATGTGGCTTTATAGTGAAGTATGAACAATACTTGACTGATGTCACTATGTCTTAATCTCAAACTTCCATTGATTTTGTGGAATTTTCTGGGTAGGAGCATGACTGCAAAACACAACATTCATTAGTTGGTGCATAAGCATAACTGATATTAAAGACATTTCTAATTTAAAAGGAAAGTTAGGACTAGTCCTCTAACTAATTCATTGAAGTTGAAACCCACTCTTACTTTGGAGCTCCAGATGCTGCTTTAGCTCCTATTACTTACCTGCAGACCTCACCAAATTTTTCTGCTGCTTCTTATTGTTCTAATATATGCATTTACTTGCAGAGCCTGCTCCTGCAAGTTCACAACAAGTGGATCTGTTTGGAGAAAGTTTAATTGGAGACCTCTTGGATGCACCTACAATTGCTCCTCCACAAAGCGATGCTGTAAGTAGCAAGTCATCCGATGTTGATCTATTTGCAGATGCTGATTTTGTTTCAGCTGCCCCTCCAGTGGAAGTAAGAGGGAATTCTCAAACTCAGGTTGGTTGCTCATTGTTAGTTTTTCATTTTTCCCAAGAAAAGTTAGGGTTTCATTCATTCTTCTTTCTCTTTGCTTTGCAGCTTTCCATTATTTACATGTATGATGGGTTTCCATTTTAGATCCCTGTGTATAAGGAAAAGAATTGCTATAATGCTTTTTACCTCTGCATGGTTTGTGACAAAAAACCTGTCTTGTGGAGGTCTTCATGTGGGAAGCATGGATGTTATAGCCTGCGAGTCATTCTTTTGTTGTACCATCTGTTTCTGAATCATCACTACTAACTTAAATTATCGTGTACAATCATGCAGGCCAATATTGATCTATTTGCTGCCCAACCTGCACCATCCACTGCACAACCAGCACCATCGGCTGCAGTGTCTTCAACAATGGACTTCTTTGCAGCATCTGATCCAGTTGTTCCATCTACAAAATCTGAAAGCACTGGGCCATCAAATGTGAATTTTGTAGATCCGTTTGCAACTATTCCATTGGATAGCTTTGATGGATCTAATGTTTTCGGAGCTTTTGCAGCTCAAACTGATCAATCATCTGCATCACCCACAGAAAATCCCCATGTGAATAATGCTGTGTTGGATTCGAATACCAAATCCTTACCTGAAACAAAAGCACCTCCAAAAAAGGACAATTTCCAGGTTAAATCTGGAATTTGGTCTGATTCTTTGAGCCGTGGACTGATTGATCTTAATATATCTGCTCGTAAGTTATTCTATCTATGGTAAATTATTTTGATTCTTCCACTTTTAATCAATGCTTCAAATTTCCATGTGTGTGCTTAAACTTTGGTTGGTCATAGTTGGAACTTGCATTTGATACATAGACTTAGCAATTAAAACTGAAATGCAACATTTGTTTTTGTCCAATCAATCAATCAAAGCCTTAATCCCATAAGTGGGGTCGGCTACATGAAACAAAAGTGATTATTCCGTGTAGTCATCGACAAAAATCTTCCTCCTCCATCCCTTATGATCCAATGCTTCATCCTCATGCAAATCCATACACTTCATATCCTTCCTATCTCCTTCCAACCAAGTCATTTTCGATCTCCCTTTCCCTCGTTTAACCCCTCCATGGTCCCGCTTTTCCACTCATTGTACCGGTGCACCCTTGGGTCTACGTCTTACATGCCCAAACCAACGCAAACGATTTTCCCTTTGTCTGCAATGCCTGTCACACCTACTTTCTTGCAAATAACCACATTTTTTTATTCAATCTCTTAAAGTGTTCCCGTACATCCATCTTAACATGCGTATTTCCGTAACCTCCATTCTTTTTAATGTGCTCCTTCTGAGAAGCCCAATATTCTTTACCATAGAGCAACAGTGATCTTATGGTAGTCCTATAAAAATTTTCCTTCAACAGTAAGGGAATGCTTCGGTCACATAACACTCCCGTGGCTGCTCTCCATTTAAGTCAACCCGACTTAATCCCGTGGGCCACGTCTTGATTAATGTCACCATTTTTCTAGATGATTGACCCAAGATATTTAAAACATTCACTCATGGTCAAGTCTTTTTCGTTTAAACTCACCACATCATCGCTTGTCCTCCTCTAAGTACCAAAGCGGCATACCAAATATTCAGTCTTACTCCGACTTAGCTTAAACCCTCTAGATTCCGACCTTTGTCTCTATTGCTCCAATTTGGCATTAACCTCATCTTTAGTTTCATTTACCAAAATGATATCATCCGCAAACAACATACACCATGGAACCTCATCTTGAATTGGTTTGGTTACTTCATCTAGAACCGTTGCAAAAAGAAAAGAGCTTAATGCAGACCCTTGAAGATCCAATTGTAAAGGAGAATCTTTTGACAACCCTACTCATGTCCTCACATTTGTTGACACATCCCGATACATATCCTTAACCAAGTCCACGTACCTTCGCGAGATACCTTTCTTTAACATTGCCCACCAAAGTACCTCTCTTGGCACCTTGTCATATGCCTTCTCTAAATCAATACCATATGAAGATCCTTCTTCTTTACCCTATAATACTCCATCATTTGTCTTATCAAATGGATTGCTTCCATAGTAGATCTCCCAGGCATAAAACCTAATGTTTTTGTCCGAGTCAACAAATTTTGGCAGTGGAATGATTGGCTTCATTTTTGAAAGGTTGTTCGGTTTTGTGTGTATTTCACACTCCAGTATTGAACCTTCTTTTGCAGGTTTGCACTTGTCCATGTGCAGGGACTGTAAAAAATGTTAGCATGTATTGGCTGTCTCGTCCAACAACTTAGTTGGATGTCTCGTTGTATCTTTAATTATTCTTAAGAAATGGAAATTGAAAGTGTGGTTATCAAACAGACGTTGATGTATGATAACTCTTGAGAAGTGCTTTAGATGTTCACATGTTAACGTAGTAAAACAAATGCTCTTGTCGTGATTGCTAGTTCGGTGGTAGAGGTGTTTGGAAGGGGTAGACCCTGAAATTTGGCCGAGGCACCAAAGATGATCCGTTATACTTAGTTCCAATTTGCTGAGGTGTTCGTTTGAAGATACAGGGTTCTCTTCACTTCCACCACCCCCTGTTTTTTGTTGGGTTAAAGAGAAGATGCCAATGATGATTTTATATCTTTCATTTTGCTTCTGTATACGTAGTAATTTGTTGCTTGCTTATAATGATTACTGCTATATTATCCAGACACTGCTCATTGTTGTTCTAATGAGGTATAAACTATTTTGGAATCATCGGTGTTGATAATTTGCATATATATGAACTCTGTGCAGCCAAGAAGGTAAATCTGTCAGATATTGGAATAGTTGGTGGTTTGAGTGATGGTTCAGAGGAGAAGCAGAAGGCACCTGCAACATCATATATGGGTATGGGTATGGGTATGGGTTTGGGTACAGGGATGGGTATGAGTATGGGTATGGGTATGGGTAATGGCACAGGTACAGGTATGGGTACGAGTACTGGATTTGGTGGAACTGGTGTTAATCCAACTACTGGCGGGGATGATTTTTTCTCAAGCTTCACCAGCAACAGCCAGTATCAGTTTGGTGGCTTCCAGAAATGATACAATTCGTTTTTATAGGATTCTTTTGGTGACCTCAATATTTGTTTGTTTGATTGGAGGCTTAATTTTCAAGCATTTTTTCAGCATGGTGGTCTAGATTATTTTTCGAAGAATGCCATATTGTGTTCTGATATATCATCAAAGTGAATTATTAGAGCCTATAATGCAGATTAATGAGGAGCTTTATTTTGAGTGCACCCGCTACTCTGTAATGTTGTATGTACTTGAAAAGAGGGATTTGATGTCTCGATTCTGTTCTGTGTTCATGTATTTGAAATTTTGAGTGAATTGCGTTTATATGCTGTATAAAAGAGCTATGATTCAAGTGAACCAAATTGGTAGAGTATATGATTTTAAAGAAAACTGAATGCCAATACCTTGTTAATTTCTTCGATTTATTTATTTATTTATATTTTTACCCTTGTTTATCCATATAATTATTCTAAATTTGGGACAATAAATTTTGCTCTTAAAAAAAATAACCAGAAAAATTTCTGCTACTAAAAGGTTCCTATTAATCTTATTCTGGTGATTCTTATTGTGTTATGGGGAAGGGGATGTTGTGTTTTTGCGACAATTTCCTTATTGACATGAGTATAATTGTTGGCCATAAGATTTACGTAGTCTCGTTCATTTTTTTTTTATACTACTTCACTTTGAAAACCACAAGGGTGTATACACGTTTATTGTGTTTGTGTACGGAGACTAACCAGATAATTAGAGTTAATTTTAACCATTGTGAGTGGTATTCGACTCTAGAGATTGAATCTTATTTACATCATTACCTAAGATTCTCGATACACCATCCACCTAATAATGTTTCCTTACAAATGTAACAGTTCCCTTAGATGATCTAACATATAGCAAAGAAGAAGCATACAAATAAAGAGTGGGACAGACATAGAGATATTAGTACCAGGCATGCATATAAATGAAAGAGAACCACAAGTTGCTGATTATTCCAACCAAAACACAAAACATAAGATTTTATATGCCACATGGCAATCCATTAACCAATTGGAAATCAAACTTATCTATCTTTCAAGATAAGCCCAGACCACTTTGTAATATTAAGCTAATTTTTGAAGCATCAAAAAGCCCATTTTGTAATATTATTCACCCAAAATCATAGTGGGAAAATTTACACAAAAATAAAAGTTATGGCTTCTGTGTGTGCTTCTTCAGCCACAACAGCTGTTTGTGCTTCTTCTCCCAGGCATGTTCTCTCCACACTTTTCTTCCAATCTTTATTATTTACTTATAAGCTTAATATATAAATTGTACACATTAAAATTGTAACATTGTTTATCATAACATAGTTTTATGACTTTCCATAAAATACTGACTTCTATAATAAACTAATTATCATGTCAACCAAACAAGCACTAAATTAAGGTCACACATAAGTAAGTAATTACGGCGTGTGACACACTGACACTTGATTTCCAACATAGATGTCAGATTGTAATTCTGCTATTGTTTTGGTGGGTAGTAATGTGTGATCAACCTTTGGAAACCCTTTTGTTATTGATTAGAAAAAAGTTGATATGATATGTTGTACAAGTATAATACAATATGAGTGACATGGTTAAGTGAAAAATAATTTGTTACAAAATGATGGAACAGTGCACAGAAGAAAGGAAATGTATTGGGAGCAATAAGAGCATCATTCCTTGGAGGAAAGAAGTTGAGAGAGACCAAATTCAGGGCTCCTCTTTCATCAAAGTCCTTGAGTGTATCAGCTGCAGCAGCTGATCCAGATAGGCCTATTTGGTTCCCTGGCAGCACCCCTCCTCCATGGCTTGATGGCAGGTCTATACTTCTTTCTCTCTTTTTTCTTAATACTTTATGTGAGGGTGAAATTGTAATTTTAAATATTTTAGTCTTGTACGCTGATAATTAAAGCCTAGGATTAGTTTTATATCCTATCACTAGAGATTTCAAAAAGGGTTTTACGTGAGGGGTAAATTTGTAATTTACATGAAGATCGCGTATTAGTTTTTAGCTTTATTTTTGTGCACATGAGTTAATCTAATTTAACTTTTAATAATTACAACAATTATATCTACTGGGTGGCTAATTCTGTTTTTATATGTTCCTGAAACTGCAGCCTTCCAGGAGACTTTGGCTTTGATCCTCTTGGATTTGGTAAGTCCAGTACAGATCTACAGCTTACATCATTATTTTAGGTGGCAAGTAGCATAATCTGATCATTTTTAATCTAATCATGTAACTAAGGAATTATTTAATTTGTTCATAAGTCTTAAAACTTATGGATTATTAGCAATACAAACTCAGAGAATAAATTATTGTTTGGTGATTATATTAAGATTGATGTTTAAATTATGATAAAACTTGTCAGTTATAACAAAATACTTTGAATTATTTGAAAGGAGATAATGTTAATTTTTTAGATTATACCTCACTAAGATCGAATGATCGAATTTAAATCCAAAGAAAGAAAGTAAAACTAGGGGTGATAATGAAACTAGTCGACTTAAAACTTGGGGTAGCTCTGTTCAGGTCACACCAACTTAACAAATCGGCTAGTTTAATCCTTGAGTCGAACTCATTCTAGTCATGCATATTGTAACCAAGCCGAGCTCGAGTAGCTTGCAAATAGGTTGTACTAAATTGGTACACTTGTACCATGTTTTTAATACTATGTAATTATTTTATACGAGGATAAGAATAGAACTCATAAGGCTACCCGTTTATTGCAAATGAAAAAGTTTTTATTAGTGATGAGGTGGGAAATTTAGGAATGGAACAAATTGACAAGTTATCTTTTCACAAGTGACATATTCAGTTTAACCTTTGTTTTGTGAAAATTCTACAGTTGATTTGTTACCGCAAAAGTTATAATGGACTCATAACATTGTTCTTAGTAAATTCAAGAATATGTGTAATCCTGTACAATTTATGTTATAGACCCCCAAAATCATAAAAAAGATTATACTATTCACTTAACCAAATATGTTCAAAGTTATAGAATAAATTTTAAAACATGAGTGTTAGTAACAAAAAATGTGTGTACATTTGAACAGGTTCTGACCCAGAGACATTGAAATGGATGGTACAATCAGAACTAGTACATTGTAGATGGGCTATGTTAGGAGCAGCTGGAATTTTCATCCCAGAATTCCTAACCAAAATTGGCATCCTAAACACACCTTCTTGGTACACTGCTGGTGAACTCGAGTACTTCACAGACACCACCACCCTTTTTGTAATCGAAATGGTTTTGATCGGTTGGGCCGAGGGCCGTAGATGGGCTGACATTATCAAACCCGGTTGTGTCAACACCGACCCAATCTTCCCCAACAACAAGCTCACCGGTACCGATGTTGGATACCCCGGAGGGCTTTGGTTTGACCCATTGGGCTGGGGTTCGGGCTCGCCTCAAAAGGTTAAGGAGTTGAGGACTAAGGAGATTAAGAATGGAAGGTTGGCTATGTTGGCTGTTATGGGTGCTTGGTTCCAACACATTTACACTGGGACTGGCCCAATTGATAACCTCTTTGCCCACCTTGCTGATCCTGGCCATGCCACAATTTTTGCTGTAAGTATTTTTTTATTTCATCTATTTACTCATTTATATTGGAAAATGCGGAATAAGAACTTCAATCATTAAAAACATTTACTTCATCCGTCCTTAATTGATAGGTTATACACACTTTCTACATTTTATGTAAGTTAAACCTAAAAGTTCTAAGCAAGCCATAAAGCACGTCGACATTTTATTATATTAAAAAGTTTTAACATGATGTATCTCCATATAAGTATATAACTCTTTATGATACTCCTCACTAAGAAGTTTTAAATAGATAACATTAGTATATGATATGTATTATTTTCAGTACGTACTTAGTGAAGGATAATTATGTTGATTCATTAATCGCACACGTTAATTTTAGAATACATAGTTCTTCTATAGTTTATGTGTTTGATCACACTCTATCTAATTGATGCAATTGACCTAATTTCAGGCTTTTACCCCCAAGTGAAGAGAGCAAAGGCTAAAGAAAGAGATGGTGGTTGTTCTAGGATGAAAGAGGAAGGGGTAAAAGGGTCATTGCCGGAAAGTAAGAGCGAATCAGCAGATCTTAAGTTGGTTATTTAGTTTGCACCTACAAATTGTTGGAGCTTTGTACAAATACCTCTTGGATTTAATTAGTACATAACTATGAATTATATCATCTAATCTTAGATTTACTCACATAAAATCGTCCAATTTTCAAATATCGATGGTGTGATTAGTGTGAGTGTCAATGTGTCATATGCTTGATATAAAAGTAAATGAACTAATGCATAATCCAAGTTGCAACTATTTTTTCTTATTATTTCAATTTTACAGCGTGTCTATTGTACAGCTAAATGTATCTATATCAATATTTATATTTACGCATGAGGTAAAATTAAAACAATGTCTAATGGCTTTTGATGCACTGGGGAGCGGGGAGTATGACAAACTAGCATGGTAAGTTGGTAGCTCTTCTAAGCTATGAAGGCCCATAATTTTTAATACGGAGTACCGTATTTATCTATCTATAAAACATTTTATGTAGTATTTAATTTAATGTACTATATGTCTATATCTATCATTTCGACTTTTCAAAAAACTATCATGCATTATGCTTTTTACGTATCTTTTTTTTTTTTTTTTTTTTTTTTTTTTTTGGTATTGATTGAGATTTAATTTATGCCTCTATATCTAAAACAAAATCACGCCTGTAAATAAGTGGTATGATACTAGATTGTCTAGATAAGTTGAATAATGGGCTTAATTGTGAACAATGATTTTAAAATAAAAGTACAAGTTGATCTATAGATGCCAATATGCCTTATCAATTAGTGAAATTTTGTCAATGCATGAGTAACATAAAACATGAATTTTATAAAATGGACTTTTCATATATGTAGGACAAGCAAATAAAACAAAAGGTTAAATTATAAATATTTGATTTTCCTACTAATTACTTTGTTTTTTGAAAGCTATTAGGGTATTATTACTCGTTTAATTATTAAATTAACATATCCATTGACTCGAATCATGCCGGCAATATAAATATATATATTAAAGCAATTAGAAAACCCCACTAATTAAATTTACATTAACATAATATTCCAACAGTTTTACGTAACATATGATGTGCAAAAAGAGACATTGAAGAACTCGTTCTTTTCTTAAACGTTCAACCAATTGTAATATTCTTGTTCAACGTCCAACTCTAGGCTTTGTAATATAAAGCATGGTCAACATACACAAACTAAATAATTTGAGCAACAATAACGTATCATTGTCTCTTAGTAATAGATATAGGAGCACGACAATTCATGGGCGGCTTCAAAGTTTACTCCGTTTTTTTTATAGGGTAAGAGCCTAGGGAGT